AGAGCGTGTCCTTCTCGTCGCGCAGGGACGCGCGCAGCGTGACCGGCTGTCCCGGGGCCAGGCCGCGCACGGCGATGCGCACGGGCTCGTCCCAGCGGCAGCGGCCCGCAGGCTCCAGCGTCACCGTCGCCGCCATCTGGATCCCAGCAGAGAAGGGGCGGCCCGGCGGACTCAAGGGCAGGGCCTGGCGTCTCTCCACCTCCCTGGGAGGCAGTCGCAATTGGAACGTTTGCGCTACTCCCGTTGGGCGGCCGAAGGGACACTTGCTAAACCGCTTTGTGAGGTTTCCTGGAGTTTGTGCAGTCCACTACTGCCTTCCTGGAAGAGTATCTGCTAAAATAAGAGTTTTATGGTAATTATTAATCCTGCGGTCCAATATGGCGAGTGTCGAAATAGAAGTACAAAGGTTGCTGACAGCTAAAGGATTGGGAAAGATACCGGGCAGTTCCAAGAAGTTTGAGTATGGTTGACTTAAAAAAATGCACAGCGTGAAGAGTTGCGAGTTAATTATTTGGGGTTTATTTGGGGCAAAATGAGGACTGCAGCCCTGGAGACAGCATTTCAGATAACTCTGAGAAACTGCCTCAAGGAGGCGGGGGGGTGGGGGCGGCGGGGGGCGGGCAGGAGCCAGGATATATGAGTTTTGCAACCAAGGGAAGGTAGTCGGGAAGTCAAAAGATTATTGTTAATTAAAGAAAGCCAGATAACTCAAATTAAGGAATTTAGTGCTTTTCTATGTATGGGAAGATGCAAGAGTCTGGGCTCACTGAAATCATTCCTTTGATATGCACCTCAGCTTTCTGGGGCCAGTACCCTGTATTTTCACATCCTGAGTTTCCTCAGGGCTCATTGCAGGAAGTGGCTGCAGTCTGATGGCTGCTAGATGGCAGGTATTCTTTTCAGCGCTGTTTCCTCAGGGCTCACCGGCTCACGTTGGAGGGTTGCAATCGATTGCTGATGACTGTGACATCTTTTGTTTATTGATATGGCAGGAAATATTCCAAAAAAAAAAAAAAAAAAAAAAAAATTCCATTCGATTTATAAATATTTGATTTATCAGTATTAAAAAGCATCCCAGGTGATTGTAATTCAAGGGATCACTGGAAACATAGTCCTAATCCTACCCTTAACCCATCATCCTTTACTGAGCCTTTTCCCTAGAGCTAAAGATACCTACAATGGCTTCCAGAGCAGGGAGATGTTTCTGGAGAGAGAACTTCCTGGGTTCCAGTCTGATCCTGCTCCTTAATAGCGTGGTGATTCTTAGCAAGGTACGTGATTAAGCTTCTGAATCCACTTTCCTTATCTGTAAAGGATTTTTTTTTTCTTTTTTTTTTTTTGTGGTAATTTTAATAATGAGTAATTTTACTATCTGAATTAGGTTTAGGACACCTGTTTAAATCCCACCTTCACAGATTATGACAAATGTTAGAGAATTGAAATATCTTGGAGGCAAGACTGTAAAGGTAAATCGCTGGCTGCCGAGTGAGAGCAAACTGCTGTTGATATTTAAAACGTATTGGGATTGAAAACAATGCTTGTAAAATCAATAAAGGATTTCAGTCAGGGGTGATTTAGAAAGCTCTTCCTATAGAGAAACAATGTCAGCCATAGTTAACACAAAATTCATTGTTTTCTGTAATTCTCAGTCAACACCCAGATCCATCTGCTTTTCTGATAACCCCAAGTGAGAGTTAAAGGGGAAAGAGGCAGGAGGTGGGAACAGACTCCCAGTTATTCCAGTATCATAAGTGTGGTTTCACTGATGATCCTGGGCCTGGTACTATTTCCTACTACCATTTGGTAGGACAAGAGAGCTCCACGTTTCTGTTTTTAGCAGACAGTATCTATCCATTTGAGTATGTTCTTTCTCCAAGATTGCAATAACTTAATTTCAATAATCATCTCATGGTTAATAGTATTGTATCAATGTTAACTTCCTGATTTTGATATTTTGTACTATGGTTATGTAAGAAGTTAACATTAAGGGAAATCAAGATGAAGAGTATAGCTGGGCTATTTTTGCAACATTTTTGTAACTCTAAAATTATTGCTAAATAAAAAGTTAAAATACCAGGGAGTGATAAAACCACCCTAGAGGATTCCTTTGGTCCTCTGTGTCCAACTTGTAGGGGTAGTAAAACCTGCCCACCTCAGTCAGATCCTTGCTCTTCCATATCCTTGAACACTTAGTCTTTCCCATTTGATTGAAGTTTCCAGGAATTTGCATTATGTCTGATCATGTATCCAAAATCCCGTGCCTTCGGTTTTTAAGTAAAAATAAAAGACATTTTTTATTTTCACCAAAAACTTTTTGAACAACATATTCACCCTTTTGTTCCACTACCTTCTGCCATTTTTCAGGCAACTTCATGATTCTATCTTCCCAAAACTTTTTATCTTTTTGAGCAAAGAACTGTTGCAGGTGCCTTTTACAGTTTTCCAGGGAATTGAAATTTTTTCCATTAAAAGAATTTTGTAAAGACTGAAATAAATGGAATTCCGAAGGTGCAATGTCTGGTGAATACAGTGGATGAATCAGAACTTCACAGCCAGGGCTTCCCTGGTGGCGCAGTGGTTGGGAGTCCGCCTGCCGATGCAATGGACGCGGGTTCGTGCCCCGCTCTGGGAGGACCCCACGTGCCGCAGAGTGGCTGGGCCCGTGAGCCGTGGCTGCTGAGCCTGCGCGTCTGGAGCCTGTGCTCCGCAATGGGAGAGGCCGCAGCACTGAGAGGTTCGCGTACCGCAAAAAACAAACAAACAAACAGAACTTCGGAGCCAGGTTGTAACAGTTTTTGCCTGGTCATCAAAGAAACATGTGGTCTTGTGTTGTCCTGATGGAGGATTATGCGTATTCTGTTGACTAATTCCGGACACTTTTCATCAAGTACTGCTTTCATTTGGTCTAATTGAGAGCAGTATTTGTTGGAATTAATTGTCTGGTTTTCCAGAAGGAGCTCATAATAGAGGACTCTCTTCCAATCCCACCGTATACACAACATCACCTTTGAATGAAGACCGGCCTTTGGTGTGGTTGGTGGTGGTTCATTTTACTTGCCCCACCATCTCTTCCATTCCACATTCTCATACAGTATCCACTTTTCATCACCCGTCACAATTTGTTTTAAAAACGAATGTTTTTGTTACGTTTAAGTAGAGAATTGCATGTGGAAATATGGTCAAGAAGGGTTTTTTCTCTTAATTTATGTGGACCCCAAACATCAAAGCAATTCACATAACCAAGCTGGAGCAAATGATTTTCAATGCTTGATATGGGTATTTTGAGTATGTTGGCTATCTCCCACGTAATATAACATTGATTGTTCTCAATTAATGTCTCCATGTGATTGCTATCAACTTCAACTGGTCTACCCGACCATGGAGCATCATCCAGCCAGAAATCTCCAGCACAAAACTTGACAAACCACTTTTGACATGTTCAGTCAGCCACAGCACCTTCTCCGTACACTGCACAAATCTTTTTTTGTGTGTTTCAGTTGCATTTTTACCTTTCTTGAAATAATAAACCATAATATGCTAAAAATGTTGTTTTTCTTCCATCTTCAATATTAAAATGGCTACACAAAAATTCACCAGTTTTGATAAGTTCTTTTTTAATGCACGCTGATATGTCAGCTGTCATAATACAATCTAACAGAATTGTTTCGAATGAAGTTAAAGACGACTACGCACTACTAGAGTCATCTTATGGGAAAAAACGAACAAACTTTTTGGCTAACCCAATATATAACATGCTCCTATTTTGGATACATAAATGTTTACAGATGTTATGTCCTTTTACTGGATTGACACTTTTATTATCATATACTGTTCTTTGTTTTGTTACAGTCTTTGTTTTAAAGTCTCTTTTGTGTGATATAATTATTGCCACCCCAGCTTTCTTTTCTTTTCCATTGCATCTTTTTACATCCCTTCACTATCAGTCTTTAAGTGTCTTTGTGTTTGAAGTGAGTCACTTGTAGGCAGCATATAGAAGGGTCTTGTTTTTTATTCAGCCACCTTATATCTTTTGATTGGCAAATATACATTACATTTAAAGTAATTATTGATAGTTATACACTTATTGCCATTTTGTTAACTGTCTTCTCGTTCTTTTGTTAACTGTCTTCTCGTTCGTTCTTTTTCATCTCTGTTCCTTTTTTCTCTTTCTCTCTTCCCTTGTGGTTTGACTGTTTTCTTAGTGTTATGTTTAGATTCCTTTCTCATTTTCCTTTATGTATTTACTATAAGTTTTCTCTTTGTGGTTACCATGAAGTTCACATATAACACCTTATGTATATAAGTCTTTATTTAAGTTGATAGTAACTTAATTTTGAACACATTCCAAAGCTTTATATTTTTACTCCCCCCTATGCTTTATATTTTTGATGACACATTTTACATCTTTTAATGTATCCCTTAACTATGGTATTTTCATTAATTTTAATACTTTTGTCTTTTTCCCTTTATAAGTGATTGATCTACTACCTTTATTATTTATTTACATATTCCAGTGAGATTTTTACTTATATATGTTTTCTTTTTATTCGTTAATGCCTCTTCTTTTTAGCTTAGGGGAGTTCCTTTAACATTTGCTTCATTTGCTGAAAGGCCAGTTTAGTGGTGATGAACTCCTTTACTTTTGCTTACCTGGAATACTGTTAATGTGTCCTTCAATTCTGAATGATTAACCTTGCTGGGTAGAGAATTTTCAGTTGGCAGTTTTTTCCTTTCAGCCCTTTGAGTATATCATGCTACTCTCTTCTGGCCTATAAAGTTACTGCTGAAAAGCCTGTTCATAGACCTATGGTGTTTCCTTTGTACATAATAGGTTGCTTTTCTCTTGCTGCTTTTAAGATCCTCTCTTTAACTGTTACCATTTTAATTATAATATATCTTGGTGTGATTCTCTTTGGGGTCATCTTACTTGGAATTCTCTAGGCTTCCTGGACCTGGATGTCTCTTTCCTTCCCAGATGAGGAAGCTTTCAGCCATTATTTCTTCAAATACTTTTTCTGGCCCTTTCTCTCTCTCTTCTCCCTCTAGGACCCCTATAATGCAAATGTTTTTCTGCTTGATGTTGTCCAAGAGATGCCTTAAGGTTTCCCTGCTTCTTTTAATTCTTTTTCTCATTTT